TTCCTAGCATGTAGATTTTTAAATTCTGCATTTGATTCCTGCTTTAATTGAATTGTGGTCAGAGAATAGGTACATATAACACTGATATGTTGAGATTTGCTTTATGACTTATTAATAGAATATCATCAGTTGTTGTAAATGTTTCATGAGTGCTTGACAAGCATGTGTATTTTTTAGTTATCGGGTGTCCATTACACCAGAGTTATTAATCGTGTCATTCAAATTCTTTCTCTTTTACTGTTCTTTTTTTCTTCTACTTCATCTCTCAGATTCTGAGCTGTATTAAAATTTCCTGTTCTAGTGGATTTGCTAATTTCTCCCTGTAATTCTGTCAATTTTTGTTTTATATATTTTGAAGTTTTATTATGAAGTACATACAAGTTTAGAATTATCTTCCAAGTTTAGAATTGAATCTAATAGTCATAGTCTCTGTTTCTAGTAATGTTTGTATTTCTTTTTTTAAAAATTTCAAAATGTTAAGGGGATAAAAATGTTTTTGATACATAGATATCTTTTATAATGCTTGAGCTGAGGCTTTTAGTGTACCCATCACCTGAATAGTGTTAACAGTACCCAATAGGTAGCTTTTTACTCCTCCCCTCCTCCCTGTACCCCTTCTTGATTTCCGGTGACCTAAAGGTCATCTCTTCGTGCCCATGTATGCCCATTGATTAGTTCCCAATTATTTGTGAGTACATGTGGTATTTTTTTTTCCATTCCTGAGGTACTTCACTTAGGATAATGTCTCCAGTTCCATCCAAGTTGCTGCAAAAGACATTCTTTTTTATGGCTGAGTAGTACTCCATAGTATATATGCACCACATTTTCTTAATCCCCTCATGAATTGATGGGCACATGGGTTGATTCCACATCTTTGCAGTTGTGAATGTGTGCTGCAATAAATATTTGAGTGCAGGTGTTTTTTTGATAAAATGACTTCTTTTCCTTTGGGTAGATACCCAGTAATGGGATTGCTAGACTGAATGGTAAGCCTACATTTATTTCTTTGAGGA